CAAAGAGAGAGAGAGAGAGAGAGAGAGAGAGAGAGAGAGAGAGAGAGAGAGGGAGAGTGAGGGGGAGAGGGAGAGAGAGAAAAGGAACAAGACCTGTGCTTTACCTGGAAGCAAGCAGAGGAAATGACTCACAGAAACAATACCCTTTCTGAGGGTTCCCCAGCCTGCCACTGAGGCCCCTGGCATGAAGAGCAGGTGGACCAAGAGCTCAGTAAACCTGTGCCTGCTCTCACAAAGGCATGCCACAGGAAGACAACACCCGACTCCCAATGTGAATCCCAATGGCCTTGAAAACGGAATGAAAGGAAACAAACAAACAAACAAAACAATAAACAACCCCCCACCATGGAGATACATCCAAGCAGTCAACATGCATATACAATGGCCTCAAAGTAAGGCTAAGGCAGAAAGGGCAGACACTAGGCGGAGAGAAGCTTTCCACTAACAAAATGCTACACTGGGTGAAGAGGAAATAAGTGCTCTCAGTCCCACCACTGGTGGGTGCAATGGCTTTGGGCAAGTCTCATAATTGATTTACAATGTGTTTTCTGCAAAGTTACAAGTGATTACATCTGGGTTTGGTGTTTGCAGTTTCCCTTCCCTTCCCATGATATCTTCCCTGTTTTCATGATCTTTCCTTTGTTTTCTTTTTCATCTTCCATCCTGTGAATGCCTAACATCTGCTAAATCCTGTCCCAGGACCTTTATTACTTCATGCTTAGGTCTGAACACACCTGGGCAAGTTCACATTATTTTTACTTGATACTCTATAATGTCATTCAGGTCACACACAACAGAATATGGATGGGTTGCTAGTTTTTTCATCATGACAGAGAAGAGTTGCTCGATAAGTGCTTGATGGCTCAGTGAATAAAAATTCACACAAAGCTACACCTTGCTTTGTAAGTCCATGGTTTCCATCACATTAGGCTCCTTCACACGTTTTTTGAATACATTATCTCAAACTCTTTTCTGAGAAAGAGACCTATATCAAGAATCAGAAGTGAGCAAGGCACACAGTCCATTTGTGTGAAGCAGTGTAATAGCCTGGTAACCTGCCCTGCTGAGAATCCCACAATCCAGCAACTAAAATGTGACACATACTCTGTGTGGGGCTTCCAGAGGCCACCCGCAGACTTGGGTAAGGAAAAGTTCCGATAGGTGTTGAATATGTGGTATACAGCTCCTGAAAATAAGCAACTAACTCCATACCCTACACTCTGAATTCCTCTTCCATCTACAACTGGGTGTTGAACTAGATGTGACTACTGAAGATTCTTCCAGTTCAAATATTTTACTGCCCTAAAGACCAGGAAGAATTACCACGAGAAAGTGAAGTCCTAAGGGTACAAGGATGACTAGTTCCTTAAATTCAACTTTAGCAGTGACACTCTAATTTACTTGAATATTCCAATTGGTTGGACACTTATTAAACCTGCTACTATGATCCCATC